CCCTGCGACGACCGCGAGCGAAGCCGCGCTCGCGAGGATGAAGCCAAGCGGTACCACCTCGTCGAAGTGCAGCTGCAATGGATATGCCTTCCCCAATGCCACTGAATGCACGGCCCTCTTCCCTGTCGCCCCCCCCGCCGCCTTCCCATGTAAAGCTGCGCCTCAGCTGCGGTGCGGGGCAACTGGCGCGCGCGTCGAGGCTCGAATCTTCGCGAATCCTCGCAAAATACTGGCGCGAAAAACAGGCGCCTCGCGACCTGGATTTTCAGCGACCCAACCCGCGCCCGCGGGGCGGAAGGCGAGCCTATCCCGAGGTCGCACTAACATAGACCAAATTTCAAGCGGCACCGGATCTGCAGGACATGCTCTTCTCTTCGAGGCTCTCACCATGTACTCGCTGACCCCCGCCCAGCTCCCCCCCCACTCCTCCGCGTGATCCATCCACCTTCCCGGCCAGGACAACATGCTTTCAAGGTGATTCGATTCTGCGAGCGGCCATTCCCCCTCCCCCCCCCTGGAAGCCCCCGAGCCTCCAGCCGCTCTTCTTCCGCGAGAGCAAATCCCGACAAGTGGGCGTAGTTCCGCTCCTCAATGGCCCGAGACAAAAACGGCTGCGAGCCTAGAGTACTAGCGCGCCTCTGCGAAACGCCTCTCTCGCCAGGCATCGTTCAGTAGGAGATTCAGCCGCTGCATCTCCTCCCGCCGCCCCCTTCGTTCTCTATGCACCAGAGCGGCGACCTCCTCTAGCTTCTGTTCTACAACCTCTTCCTCCTCCTCCTCCTCCTCCTCCTCCTCCTCTTCCTCCTCAATCGAAGACTCTAGTGCGCTACGAAGCTCGCGCCGCCGACGGAGAAGATCCTCTCGGCGCTCCTGCAATTCAACGTGCGAGCTAGAACCTACAGGCCCCGCACAATACTGGATTCCGCACTATGCTGGTCAAGCCTTTGCCTGATCAAGACCTCGTTCACATCTTCGAAAAACCACCGGGGGTCGGTCGAACCAGCAGATTCACCAGCTCACGCCCCCGCGTGGCGAATTCATTCCCAACTGCTGCATTGCGTTCTTGCCGACGAACGCCTGTCTTCAAACTTTCCATCGGAGAAATCCAATCCCGAATCTGCTTGTTCATCCCTCCTCCACCAATCATAAAAGACATGTGCCATGCAGCGGAACTGCGAACGTGGCCCCGTGGACAGCGACTACGCATCTGCTGCGCATCTCTGCCTAGCCTCCGAAGCGCACAAGCCCTGTGCAAGTGACTGAAGAAAACGCGCGGGACAAACGACATATCTATTCTTGCCTGCTCACCCTGCTGCCCGTCTCAAATAAGAGTGAAAGGGTGTCCCCCATTTACGAAAACAGTATCGTCTTCTTCCAGGACCTTCCGAAACACGCTGCCAGAACCCTGCGAGTAAAGCTCCCGAGACGCCACAGACTCATGCAATACCTCGGTCCCGGAGAAGCGACTGCAACCCACCTCCTCAACTAACCCCATCCCGTCATTCGGGCCCACCGCGAAGATCAGCGCGGTCCTACCCCGAGACTTCCGCGGCACATCGCTGATCCACTTCGCGAGCAGCTCCGCTGTCTTGAAATAGTTCGGCCTGGCGGCCAACACTCACTCTCGGCTCGGGGGGGGGGAATGGGCGGCGATTGGGAGAATGTCGGTGCCCTGTAACTTCGCACGGAATCCCAGTCCCCGACCAAAAAGCGGTCGAGGTGGCAGAAGAGGGTGGCCCACGATGTTGGTTTCCTTCAGCGCGGGCGCCAAGAGAAGCGAACGGCCAGTAGCTTTGTTGGTGTACGGTCCTGGGAGCCAGCCCGCCTGAACAATCAAATATGTTCCCACTATTGTCCTTGTCATTAAGCCGTCTGTTTTACATCGCAACTGGGTGCCTCTGAACATCGCCGTGTCGAAACCCCTGAAATTGAGCTCGAGATCCTCGATGCGGTCGATCCTGTTCGCGCTCAGGGGGTTGCAGGCAGCGACCCGCAGCCATCGCTCTGGCGGCGGCCCCCGACATCTCACCCTCAAAACGGCAAGCTGTGCGTGCGTGTGTGAATTGGCATGTGCGGCGACCTGGCTTCGCCGAGCGACCGACGTGAGCTTGTGCCGACGTGTCGCTGGAGGAGGAGGAGGAGGAGACGAGTGCGTTCCACTAGTCGCAAAAGTACATATTCGCAAATGGCCTGGATTCGCCGCGGGTGATTTACGATCGACTACATCGAAGAACAATTCTTTTGTGGACGTTTGCGAGATGGTACTTTGCGAGTAGTGGAAGCGCTCGGCGAAGGAGGAGCAGGCAAAAACCATGGGAGGCAGCAGGAGGAGGCATGCAGGAGTCGGCAGGAGCCTGCCTGGGAGGAGGCAGGCGCGGGGAGGATGCCAGCCCTCCTCCCCCTCCTCCATTTCCTCCTCCTCCTCCTCCTCCTCCTTCTCCTTATCCTCCCTCCCTCCCTCCCTCCTTTCCCTCCCTCCCTTACCCCCCCCCCCCCTCCTCGTCCCTCGCCTCCTTCCTCCCCCCTCCAAGAGGCCAAAGCGCGCCTCCCGCAGGTCCGCGCCGGAGCCCGCCACGGCCCGCCGGAAGAGCGTCTCCCGGGCGAGGCGGCCAGCCTGGGCGTGGCCAGTGGGGCTTTCCTGAGGCCCACACCAGCTGGAGGCGCCACCAGGTTCAGCATGCGGCAAGCATCAAAAACAAAGCAGTGAAGCATCGTGCGAGAGATCAGCCTCCTCGCGCTTTTCCCCTGTCGAGGGCCCGCTGCCCGAGCGTTTCAGCCTGGGCGCGGGGAGGAGAACCCGAATAGCGCAAGGCCTCGGATGAGATCGACTCCGACTCGCTTGGAGGGGCTTCTCTGGAAGAGGAAGGAATACGCGGAGGAGGAACAATGATACAGTCGGACCTAGGACAGAAGAGCATCCTTCGAGAACGCGAGGCCCTCCGCGGGCCAGCAATCACACAGACCATGCAAGGGTGCCCTCCCAGGGATGCACAAGAACATCCAACAAACACGAAGATCATTGGGGTGCCCTCCCCGAACCGACACCGACCTTATACCTCGGCCCGGCCGTAGTAATAATCATGGGGTCCTGCCGATGATACCCCTTGACTCGGCTCAACCTCTGGGGAAAACCAGCCTGAAAGGAAGAGGGTGGGGAGAAGGTCCCGCCCCCTGATCTGACCGCGCCCACGCTCAGGTCGGAAGTCAGCACTCGCTGCGCTCGGTGGTGCGAGCGGCGATGGTGCGCCGAACGGGTCTCACTGCATGCGGTTCTCGGCACTGCGCGCGCCGTTCTGGAGGCTGCTCGGGGGGCTCCCTCATCGCGGCTGCTGTCGGCGGCGCTCTCGGCGCACTCCAGAGATCCTCGGGCTGCTCCCTGCCTTGAGCAGGGACCGACCGTCCTGGCATTCCTACAGGCCTACCACGGAATGTTCTTAGAACCCAAACATGTTCTAATAACAAAAACGATATTCTGAGACCAGAATTCCGAAGTGTTAAAACGAGACAATCTCCGCCATACATGTTCTAAGAACTTTTCGTGCAGACCACAAACGGTTCTCAGAACACTCTTTGTGCGCCTCTAGGCGAACCAAGACGCCTCGCCACTGCCTGACTGCCTCGGCCGCGCCGCTCCACGTGAAATCCCTTGGAAAATCTCTCCCTCTTCCTCCTTCTCCTCCTCCTCCTCGTCCTCCGCTCCTCCTCTTTCTCCCCCTACCTGTCGTGGGAGAGATCCTTAGCTACACAGGGGTGTCCGATCGCACGAGAAGCCGGGCAACGGCAGCAGGCTCTGTTGCTGCATAGGGGGCCGCGCGCCGTACGTCTGGGCTACAGTGCAGCGATCGGTTCGATTGAAAACGGCAAGCAATGGCAACAAGCTCTTTCGCTGCAACAGGGGTCGTGAGGGAAACTCGTGGGAAAGGTCTTCAGCTACAACACATGGGTCAGTTCGGGCGCTTGTGGGAAGGGTTTTCATCTACAGTGCAGGCATCCGATCGGCTGGAAGCAGGCAGTGGAAACAACCTCTGGTGGCTCGTGCGAAGCACATCTCAGCTGCACGGTGGACTAGCAGCTCGCGCGATAAGGCAGCCAGCGAGTGGCAACAGACACTGCCGCTGCAACAGGGATTCGTGCGAGACACCTGTCAGCCACAACACGGGAATCAGTTCGTGTGTGCAACGTGTGGGAAACGCTTTCAGGTACAGCCTCCTTCTCCTCCCCCCTCTTTGTCCCACCCTCCTCCTTCTCTTCCTCCTCCCTCCTTCCTCCTCTTCTCCTTGAAGAAGAACTGGCCGTCGTGTTTTTTGTAGGTGTCGTGCGTGGGTCTTTCGCCAAATGATCGAGGACGCTCCTCGATGGTCCTCGCCGAAGGGCAAATGCACACGCCCGGGCGATGCCAACTCCTTTTTCTTCCCCTTGAGGAAGGGAGGGCGGCCTCTGGGCCGTTTAACGCCACGGTGAGCAGCTGCTGGACGCTGTCGAACTGGCGCATCAACTCGCGCAAGTCCTGGCCGCGCAGCGACCCCTGCCGCTGCGCTTGCCACTGCCAATCTTCAGATACCGTCGGGGCGTTGACCTCAGGAACTCTAAATCGAGAACGAGGCCCCTTTCTCCCATACATTGAACTTCGATTCCCCATGGAAAACCCAAAACAATCAAGAAACACCGAGCCCTTCCCCAACGAAAAGAGTTCCTTCTTCAGCAGCCCGACTGTATCCCTCCTGCAAGCTTAGGAAGTCATTCTCCGACTCGACGCTCTGACAGTGATCGTACAGTCGTTCCTGCATGACTTCGTGGGGGGGGTATATGAAAAGTGACTGTACACCTGGCGTGCAGCCAAAAAGCAGGGTACCCCCAAAGGGTACCGATCCAACACGGCGACGAAAATCTGTAGTCCGTTCAATGAACCTCCATGTGGAGACTGTGCTCGTGGGTTTCGGTTCGATCCTGTGCGCCCTGCAACGTCGCGATTTTCTACAATTACTCCGACGGTAGGACCCCTGCACGAGAATCTGTTTAGCTTACCCTTTGCCCTTTCCTCCTCCCCCTGGCGGGCACCCTCTCCTCTCGCCCCCTGCACTGCCCTCTCTTCCCCCTTATATTTCTCCTCCTCCTCTTTCTCCTCCTCCTCCTCCTCCTCCTCCTCCTCCTCCTCCTCCTCCTCCTCCTCCTCTCGCGCCACCTCCTCCTCGTCGCCGGCCTCCCCCATGCCCCTTCCCTCCTCGTCCCCCTGCCTTTTCTCCATTTGCACCTCCCCCTCCCCCTCGTCGGGGCAAGCAAATCCATTTTCCTCAGCGCCGTCGCCGCCTCGGCCAGCGCGCGCGCGTCTGCCGACGGCTAGATCGCGAAGCCGTCGGGGCAAACCTTCGGGCTGGGCCGTAGGCTCCCGCTCGAGACCTCCTCCATATTCAAGTCTCAAGAGCCCAAAAGTGACGACAGTTGCACGTTGCGGATGACCCGCTCGGATTCGAAGATGAAGTGCGGGCCCCATAGGGAGGGGGCTCCCGCCTGAGACTTCCTCGCAATTCACTCACAGACGAGGCTCCCGCTGGAGACTTCCTCCATATTCAGGTCTCAAGAGCCCAAACGTGACGACAATTGCACGTTGCGGATGACCCGCTCGGATTCGAACATGAAGTGCGGGCCCCATAGGGAGGGGGTTCCCGCCTGAGACTTCCTCACAATTCACTCACAGACGAAGCTCCCGCCTAAGACTTCCTCCATATTCAGGCCTCAAGAGCCCAAAAGTGACGACAGTTACACGTTGCGGATGACCCGCTCGGATTCAAGATGAAGTGCGGGCCCCATAGGGAGGGGGCTCCCGCCTGAGACTTCCTCGCGATTCACTCACATACGACGCTCCCGCTCGAGACCTCCTCCGTATTCAGGTCTCGGATTCGAATATGAAGTGCGGGCCCCATAGGGAGGGGGCTCCCGCCTGAGACTTCCTCACAATTCACTCACAGACGAGGTTCCCGCCTGATACTTCCTCCATATTCAGGCCTCAGGAGCCCAAACGTGACGACAGTTACACGTTCCGGACGACCCGCTCGGATTCGAAGATGAAGTGCGGGCCCCATAGGGAGGGGGCTCCCGCCTGAGACTTCCTCGCAATTCACTCACAAACGAGGTTCCCGCTCGAGACTTCCTCCATATTCAAATCTCAAGAGCCCAAAAGTGACGACGGTTACACGTTGCGGATGACCCGCTCGGATTCAAGATGAAGCGCGGGCCCCATAGGGAGGGGGCTCCCGCCTGAGACTTCCTCACAATTCACTCACAGACGAGGCTCCCGCTCGAGACTTCCTCCATATTCAAGTCTCAAAAGCCCAAAAATGACGACAGTTGCACGTTGCGGATCACCCGCTCGGATTCGAACATGAAGTGCGGGCCCCATAGGGAGGGGGCTCCCGCCTGAGACTTCCTCACAATTCACTCACAGACGAGGTTCCCGCCTGATACTTCCTCCATATTCAGGCCTCAAGAGCCCAAACGTGACGACAGTTACACGTTCCGGACGACCCGCTCGGATTCAAGATGAAGTGGGGGCCCCATAGGGAGGGGGCTCCCGCCTGAGACTTCCTCGCAATTCACTCACAGACGAGGTTCCCGCTCGAGACTTCCTCCATATTCAAGTCTCAAGAGCCCAAAAGTGACGACAGTTGCACGTTGCGGATGACCTGCCCGGATTCGAACATGAAGCGCGGGCCCCATAGGGAGGGGGCTCCCGCCTGAGACTTCCTCACAATTCACTCACAGACGAGGCTCCCGCCTGATACTTCCTCCATATTCAGGCCTCAAGTCAGCGAGTAGTGATGATGATGATGATGATGATGATGATGATGATGATGATGATGATGATGATGATCGTTCGATGCCGATGATGGTGAGTGATCGTGCGATGGTGATGGTGATGCTGATGGTGATGATGATGATGAGTGGGGAGTGATGGTGATGGTGATGATGATGCGGAGGAGGAAGCAAAGAGGAGCAGAGGAGAGGGAGGAGGAGGAGGAGGAGAGATCCTGCGCGGAGGGTGTGCAGAGAAAACAAGAACCCCACTTAGGATGTGGGGAACAAGAACCCCACTTAGGATGTGGGGAATGATGATGATGATGATGATGATGATGATGATGATGATGATGATGATGATGATGATGATGAGTATGTGAGTGACTGAGCGTGTGAGAGAGCGCGAGTGATGATGCTGATGATGATGCTGATGTTGATGATGAGAGAGTTTGAGTGAAAATGAGTGTGAGTGAGTGGTGATGATGATGAGTGAGTGAGTGAGTGTGCGAAGGCAGAAGAGGAGAGGGGGTGGGGTGAGTGTTCCTGCGCGGGGTGTGCACAGAAAACAAGAACCCCACTTTGGATGTGGGGAAAAACAATGCTTGCACTTACGGGTTCGCTGTTGTTTCCCTGCGCTACTGAGTAAGACTTCCGGTATTGGCTGGTGCCTGTCGGCTAGTTTCCGGCCGTGGGCGCTCTTGGGCGACCCGTACGCTGGCTGAGATTTTCTGATTTTCGGCTGGTGCCCGCCCGTGGGCACGATATAGTTTGCACCACGCATGCTGCACAACACTGCTTACACCACATGGCTTGCACCACACAACTTGCATAGCTTGCGTCGTGAAGCTTGTCCCACGTAGCGTACAACAGATATGCTGCACCACATAGCTAGCACCTAATAGCTTACACAGCATCGCTTGCATCACATAGCTTACTTCACGAAGCTTGCATCACGTAGTTTGCACTCACGTAGTTTGCACACAATAGCTTCCACATACAGTGTGAGCCACGTCGCTGCTTGGGGTCTACGCTGACACACATGTGTCCGTGACGAATGACGAATGTTCGAAACGTGTTGGTAAAACATGGGCAATGGCTTCTGTTCGGTCTATCTAGGTACCTCTGTGAGATGCTGTGGTGTTTCGCGAGCGCCGCAATGGTTGGTCTGCGCGACCGTCGTTCGGTTCTTGCTTCCCCACGCAAGACTGCCATAACAGGATTCAGGCCGATTGGCCTTCGCAACGTGGAAGCACTGACAAGGTGTCAAACCACAACATCTCGGCCTTAGACAATTGTGGTGTGTTCCTGGCATTGCAAACCACTTCTCTCAGGACTCGTGGCAAATTCACGCCGTGATGACGTTGGCATTGATTTCTGGCACCGCGTGGATCGTTCGGCCTTGAACGATCGCGGCGTTCCGATGTCGCAGACCTTGGGCATTTAGGATCATGCACAACTGCATGAACAAATCAGTCGGACCCATGCCAGAAGAACATCATGAAATAACATGAGACCCTCCGTCGGCCAGAACAAGCAAAACATCCAAGGGTCCCCTCCCCAAGATGCACAAGGACATCCAACACTAGAAGAAACAAAACCATAAACATAAACTTTTGGCGTTCCGCGCGGATTTCTCGGATCTGCGCTGGACCCCCCTCGCTGGCGCGCGGAGCGCGCCAGAGGCGCCGCTAGGGGGGCCCAGCACGGATCCCCCAAAACCGCGCGGGACGCCAAAAGTTTATGTTTACTCCCGTTCTTGTTCTTCGAAAAACAACATTCAACAAACATCAAAAACACTCGAGCTCGAGCCGACCTCGAGCTTACACGAACCGACCTCGAGCTTACACCTCGGTCTGGCTTTGTACACTTTCGGAGAGCTGGGAGGACTTCTTGGGTCGGCGCTGGACCCCCCTGCGGAGCGCGCCAGGAGTGGCGCCGCAGGCGCACCCAGGGGTGAGGGACAACCATAGGGGGGGACTGGCATAGGGGGGGGACATCGACATGGAATCGGCGATACATCGCCGAGCGATAGACCCCCGATAACGAATCCGAAAGCTCCTAGGCAGGTTGGGGCCATCGGGCCCCTATCGGCGATCAATGGGCGATTGGGAGTCGATGCGTCCCCCCTGTGCCTATCCCCCCCTATCGTTGCCTCTGCGCCAGGAGTGGCGCCGCAGGCGCACCCACGGGGCGTGCCCAGCGCCGATCCAAGAGATCCGCGCGGACCTCTGAAAGTTTACTTGTACCGATTCTCTTCGTCGAAGGAATAACTAAGACGGAGCCAAGACGAAGATGATTTCGGGTGAGGGCGAATCGAGAATCTCTGAAATCCCGCGGCTCTGGAGAATTTTCCCGGGAGCCGCGGCCTTCCCTGAGCGTTCCGGAACGCTCTGGAACGGATTTATCCTCGTCCTAGCCCCGTCTGAGAGTAGCCCTGTGCGCCGCCAACGTGGGTAACCCTCTGCAGCTCCATCCAACTGGCGGGCTCCAGAAACCCTGAACCAAAGAATGTTACCATCTCTTGGGAGGCGATCTTTACTTCCGCTGGCTTCTGTCGGCGGAGGCGGCCTCGATTTCCGCCGCTTTTCCGCCGAGGAAGAGGTGCCAACTCCTTCGATCCTCGAGGGCAAGGACCTTCCCAGAGATCGCCAGCTCTCTATGCAACCAGTGTCATGCATCCTTCTTCGAACATCTGCCGATGCTGGACCTCTGGCG